GTGATGGGGTGAGGAGGTGGGGGTGTGGGGCGGTGAGGTGAGGTGAGGGGGTGATGGGGTGAGGTGAGGGAGTGTGGGGATGGTATGGGTGATGGGGTGAGGAGGTGGGGGTGTGGGGCGGTGAGGTGAGGGGGTGAGAGAGTCGAGGTGTGGGAGGCGTAATGTGGTGCAGAGACGGTGTGGGTGAGGGTGTGGGTATGTGTGGGTACAGCCGGGGATGGTGATCTGGGGCTAGGATGGAGGGTGGTTTGGGGAAGCTGGATTGGTGCTGTATCGTCGTAGGGACTGCAGAGCCAGGACACAGCAGCTGCGCAGCAACACCCCAATGTTGTAGAGAGGCTGCGAGCTGCCTCGCTGGGTGCTGACAATCCAGGCAACAGTAGGTACTGCAGGTACTGTCACCGCTAGCAGATCCACAATATAATACCGGCTCCAGTGTGCTACTTGACCGGGAGCTTCATCCAGAGCCGGCTGGATGGGCACCTGTGGCACTCCTGCTCCAGGGGTCTCGGGCACTGCCTCCACAGGAACTAGCCGCAGATCGGGACTCCCATCGAGGGTCTGTCGTGTCTGTGGTGTCTGTGGGTCAGGGAGCGGTCTCAAATCCTCTGCCCCCGCGGTGAGGCCGCCAGGGTCAAAGGTGCTTGACCTCAGGACCTTCTCCGCTATCACTTCCAGGTCAGGATGACAGGGGGAGAAGTCAGTCTGGATGCCCTGCTCGCGGACAGTGCCCAGTTGGATCCTGGCTGATGGCCCATATCCCTCCCGCAGTAAGGATGGTGCTGCGAGGGCAGCAGCCTCTGCAGCGCGGTCGATCCCAGAGGCGAGGGAGCCACGGTGAGGAAGATCAGTGCCATCAAGGAGCAGGAGCTCAGGCCCCTGCTCACTCAGCTTGGTGTAGGTGGAGCTGTGGGTCAGAGACCGGGCTGGAGAGCCAGCGGCAGACAGAGAAGCACCATCCTGCGCCAACTCCATGCTGTGTAACAGAGTTTCCAACTTCTTGTTTTGAATGTTGATGTCAATGAAATACTTCTGGATGCCTTTATCCTTCTCCACCAGGTTATTCTTCACTGTGTCGATCACCTGTTTTAGCTGCTTGATCTCCTTCCTGGCCTCCTTCAGGGAGAGCTGGGCTTCCACACGGTGACACTCCTCTTCGATCCAATCTTCCTGCATCCTTGACAGCTGCAATTTCAAATCCTCCACCTCCCCACCCCTGTGAAAACCACAAGGGCATGTTAGATACTCATTATCAATCGTTACATTCGAGACTAGGAGGAATACATCCAGCCCCTCATGCCTGATCCACGTCACGTCATGGCGAGTGTATTTTTTTAATTCAATCATGGAACATGGCTATTGCTGACTGGACCAGCATTTATTGCTAGTTGCCTTTGAGAAGGCTGTGGTGCACTGGTAGGATTAATCCAGCTTTACTCCGTACCCCTCAATTCCCCCGCTGACAAAACTGCATCGTAATCCTGAAACTGTCCCCAGCTCTCATAATCTTATACAGCAGAACTTTTCATAATCTCATACAGCAGAATTTGTTAGAACTCCCACTACCCATTGTGTTAATTAAAAAACACTCTGAATGACTTCAGTCTGGTTCAGCTCCCCTTTGTTTTGGATTCGTACCCAGTGAAAACTGTTTCTCTGTATCTGTTCAATTGAACCTTTTCATCATTTCAAACATCTTCATTTGATCACCCTGAGGCTCAACTCTCAACTCTCTCTAATGAGAGACAAGTCCTTTGGGACTACTTTACCTTTTAATCTGCAGATAGTCACACCCTGTTATTTTAAACTTGTTGGCAATATCATTTATGTTTATCAAGAAGTGTAAATGTCCCAACACAGCTCCCTGAGACACATGAGAGAGAAGTGGGCAAGTGGGGGGCGGGGGTAGAGAAAGAGAGAGAGAGAAAGAGACAGATGACGCCTCCAGGAGAGAATGATCCCACCAGCCTTTTTAATCTGTTTTGGTGATGAAGTACTGGATTCAATGGAAAAATGCTCCCTGATTCTACAGCAGTGAAGTGTGCATAAGAACTTTTCATGAGGAATTTTGTCAAAGGCTTTTGAGAAATCCAGTCTTGTCATGTCAGTGAAACCTTTTGAGACTTGAAACCAGGTCCTGGGCAGGCTGTAAAAGCTGTCTTTTGGTAGGTGTTCTGACCTAAAAGCTAAGCTGACTACCCTGCAGGATACTGTGACCTTCAAAGTGCTACATGACATGAGAATGAACAATATGTTCAAGCAATTTGTCTCTGACGCAGGTGAGAGATACCCATCTGATTTCTATCCCCCTCTTTGAATATGCCACAGATGTTAGTTTGTCTCCACTAGTCTGCTATTGACTGACTCTTAAAAGTGATTGCTCAATATTAGAGTCAGTTTCTCAGGTGCTAACTTTAATATCCAGTGAGACATTATGTATGGACTTTGAGTTTTATTTGGATTTATTTGTTGAATAATTTTAAAACACCCTCCTTATTTGTAAATAAGGTCTTGTATTGCTGGTAAAGTAGGTATTGAAACTTGGTATGTGCATTAAATTCTCCCTGGTGAATTCACTAGAAAATTGATCACTTAATAATTCCATTTTACCCTTACGATTTCCTATAACTGTTGTCTAGTTTCATTTGTGAAACTGGTATTTGAAACCCACATTGGATATTTGACCAGCCTTTAATATCAGTCAGTGCCTGATCATTACCACTGGCACTGATGCTGTACTGACTAGTGGTGGTCATGTTGTACTGACCAGTTGGGGCCAGCCTGTACTGACCATTGATGGTCATCCTTTGCTGGTCGCCACCCTACACCCCTGCCCCCCCCACCCCCCCCACCTCCCCCCCCCCCCCCCCCCCCAGCACTAGCTCACATCTCTCAATTTGGTGTGCTACAATATTACTGAGTTCTCACACAATCCTGAGTCAGCAATACCTTTCATCCAGCTTCTCCTCCGTCTCCTTTAGCCTTGCCCTCAGGTGTCTGATGCAGACTTCCTTTTGCTGCAGAGGGGTCAGATATTGCTCTGGAGTTGGTGGCTTGATCCCATGGTTTTCACTGCAGGACAAATATTTACTCGAACGTCTGCACAGCAAATTGAGAAACAATAAGTGACAGAGGATGAAGTCATACCTGTAGAAACACAAACACCAGAAAGCTATTTATTCAAGATCAAATTGTATTTGTGGACACCTTTCATGTGTTCAAAATGTTACAAAGTTCTTTTCAGCCAATTAAACACTTTTGAACTGTTGTCACTGTTGATGGTTGAGAGTTAAGTGTTGACCAGGAAACTACTGTTCTATGTATTAGATCCTTGAGGGTCTCTTCCATCAACCTGACAGGGCAAACATGGCCTCCAGTTTTCAACATTTCATCTCAAAGACGTGAACTTCAATAGTGCAGTACTTGCTCAGCACTCCCTTGGAGATGTCAGCATGGAAGATGTGCTCAGATCTCCGAACTGGGGCTCGAATCCACCACATTCTTAATCTAGAGAGGAGGGAATTAGCCAGAGACCAGGCTAACATGAGTGTAAATCATTTCTGATGAAGGGTCTAGGCCCGAAACATCAGCCTTTCTGCTCCTATGATGCTGCTTGGCCTGCTGTGTTCATCCAGCCCTGCACCTTGTTGTCTCTGTAAACCACACCTATTTTTTTGCAGTCCCTGTGATTTACAAAGCTGTAGGAACCCGTTATGAAGCCAGTGAAAGCAGCAGCAACCCCACCTTCATATACGTGGCCTGGAACAGACAATTCAGTCCCTTGAATCCACTCAGCTGTTCAATGAGATCATGGCAAATTAAATTGCAATCTCAACTCCACATTCCCACCTGCTCCATTTTTTAAACTCATTTGAGGGACGTGGGTATTGCTGGCTGGGCCAGCATTTATTGCCCGTCCTGATAATTTTTCACCTCCTTGATAACCAAAAATCCACCTACCCCATTGTAGAAATATCCAAAACTCTGCTTCCCCCCAGTAGGTAGTGGAAATTCCCATTTAAATAAAATGCCAGCTCGTTTGGGACAATAAAAGCAACATTAGCCAACTAAACAGCATGCTGGGAAAGCGATAGGATGCTGGGATTTTCTGAAGAAGGGTCTAGGCCCGAAATGTCAGCCTTCCTGCTCCTCTGATGCTGCTTGGCCTGCTGTGTTCATCCAGCTCTACGCCTTGTTAACTCAGCACGCTGGGAAAGTTGGGTCAGCTGAACGGCATGCTGGGAAGGGAAATGGCAGGGTAAGCCAGGAAGATGGCAGAATTCACTGTCAAATTGGATCAGGCCAGACAGATATGCAAGCCATTTACCTTGATACATTACATTGAATAGGTATTGATGAGACAATGCTGCAAGGTCTCAGATGGAACAACAGACTGGAGTTTCGGTCGAACAGTTTTCTGAGACAGCTCGGCTCCTAGAGTCAGTGCAATCAATTGGGAAATTACAATATCTAATACTGTCTTTTGTAGCAGCCACTGTGGGATAGAAACTCATTCACAAGATGTAACTGAATTCTGTTAGTTACACTGCTGTATCAAACTGCTATAACTACATAGGAGGATTCTGTATGTCGGTCACCATGCCGACATAGTAAAAGATAGTAAGCCACTGTACTTGGGGAAGCATTTAAAGGAGCCTCTCCCATCAGAGGGACTGACATTCCAGAGACAATATCATCACAAGAAGCAGGAACCATGGGAGCTCGAGGAACAGCCTTAATCTCAGTTCGCCAGCTGTAACCGGGTAGTATAAACATCTTTACCAGCTTGAGCTTCCAGAGCAGATTTTAAACCCATGTGAGAATATTGTAATTTAAGAACAGTAAGGTTACTCAGGAAATTAGAGGGAAAGACACGTTTCATAGAATTACATGTATATATCTTGTGTTTAAATGATAATAAACCGTGTCTCATGGTAAACCACCGCTCATCATTACTGTAAAATGAGCCACAGGAACTAAGCAAGCATATCAGGCCCACTCAAAAATGACGCTTACAACCTCCTTTTGAGTAAGAGAGTTCCAGAGACTCATAACCCTCTGAATGAAAAGCTTTTCCTCGCCTTTGTCTTGAATGGAGACTCCTCATTCTTAGTTAAAATTTCGGGTCCGGTGACCCTTCCTCGGAAGTTTTGAGAAAGGGTCACTGGACCCGAAACATTAACTCTTGTTTGTTCTTCACAGATGCTGCCAGACCTGCTGAGCTTTTCCAGCAACTTCTGTTTTTGTTCCCGATTTACAGCATCCACAGTTCTTTCGGTTTTTACTCCTCATTCTTAAATGGTTAACCCTTGTTCTAGATTCTCCCACAACAGGAAACATCCTCTCCACATCTACCCTGACAAGATCCCTCAGAATCTTTTATGTTCTAATCAAGTCACCCTTTACTCTCATGAACTCCAGCAGATGTAAGCCTAAACTGTCCAACATTCCCTCAAAAGACAACTTGCCTGTTCCAGGTATTAGTCTAATAAACCTTGACTGAACTGCCTCCAATGCATTTACATCCCTCCTTAAATAATGACAAGGATTGATGGTATAGTGGACCATGAAGAAGGTTATCGAAGTGTACAATAGGATCTTGATTAACTGGGCCGATGGGCGAGGAATGGCAGATGGAGTTTAATTTAGATAAGTGCGAGGTGTTACATTTCAGTGAGACAAACTAGGGCAGGACTTGCACAGCTAATAGTAGAGCCCTGGGGAGTGTTGTTGAAAAGAGACACCTATAGGTGCAGGTACACAGTTCCTTGAAAGTGGTGTCACAGGTAGACAGGGTGGTGGAGAAGGCATTTGGCACGCTTGCCTTCAGAGCATTGAGTAGGGGAGTTGGAATGTCATGTTATGGCTGTACAACAGGCAACGCTTGGAGTTACTGCATACAATTCTGGTCATGCTGCGATAGGAGAGATGTTATCAAACTGGAAACAGTACAGAAAATATTTACAAGGATTTACCGAAACTGGAAAGTTTGAATTATAAGGAGAGGCTGGATAGGCTGAGACTGGTTTTCCTGGAGTGTAGCAGACTGAGTATAAAATCATGATGGGCATGAATAGGGTGAAAACAAGGTCTTTCCCCCAGGGTAGGGCACTCCAAAACTACAGGGCATAGATTTAAGGTGAGGGAGGAAAGATTTCAAAGGGACTGGAGGGGCAACTTTTTCAAACAGAGAGTGGTGCACAATTGGAACAAGCTGCCAGAGGAAGTGGTAGAGACAAGTACAATTACAACATTTGAAAAATATCTGGACAGGTAGATGGACAGGAAAGGTTTAGAGGGATTTGGGCTAAATGCAAGGAAATTGAATAGGTTTAGTTTACGAAACCTGGTCAGCATGGACAAGTTGGGCTGTAAGGGTTATTTCCGTGCTGCAGGACTCGATGACTCTCAGCTCCCTCTGCATCTCAAAGATCTGCAATATGTCACCATTTAGTCAGCATGCTTCTTTTTTAACTTTTCTTGCCAAAATGAACAATTCCAAATTTTCCAACATTATTACTCCAATTGCCACATCTTTGTCCACTCAATTAGCCTATATACATCACCCCATGCTTTCTTCACAACTTACTTTTCTATTTGAACATAAATGGTCTGGCAGAGTCTGAGGAAAATGTTTCAAGTCCAAAGACTCTTCTTCGAAACTGGAACAGATGCTGCCAGATCTGCTGAGATTCTCCAGCATTTTCTGTTTTTATTTCAGATTGTCATCAGAAAATTTAACAATCTACTTTTGGTCCCTTCATCAAAATCATTCACATAAATAACAGAATGTTGAGGTTGCAGCATCAATCCTTGCAGCACACCAATTGTAACAGCTTGCCAACACAAAATGACCCATTTATGTCTTCTCTCTGCTTCCTGTTCACCAGCCAATCTTCAATCCGTGCCAATGTGTTACCTTCTATACCACGAGCCTTTATTTTCCACAAGAATTTTTGATGTGGCACTTTATCAAATTTTTTTAAAAATCTAAGTGGGCAATAAATGCTGGCCAGCCAGCGACACCCATGTCCTACCAGAGAATTTAAGAAAAACTACATCCACAAGTTGCCCTTTATCCAAAGCACGTGCTACTTCTGCAAAGGACCTCAGTAGTTGGTTAAATACAATTTCTCTTTCACAAAACTATGCTTACCTTGCCTGATTACCTTTAATTTTTGTAAGTGCCCTGCAAAACCTCTTTAGTAATAGTTTTTAACATTTTCCCTATGGATAACTGGCTTGCAGTTTCCTGCTCTTTGTCTCCCTCCCTTGGTGAATGAAGGTGATGAATTACCTGGGAGTGGGGCTACTGTCACTGCCTTTGTAGGATCCCGAGTTGCTGCTGCTGCTGAGGGAGGATGTCGCGTAGCTGTCCCGTAGTCTGACTGGCGGAGAGGTGCGTCTGGACGGCTGGAGGAGGGGCTGCGTCTCCTGCTGCGCTGAGGCCGAGGCTGGGGTCAGTGTTGACTTAAACAGGGAGGAGAAGCCACTTCTCCCATGGACACCACGACTAGAGACAGGGGGTAAATTGACAATCAGAACCCATCCCCTGTTAACAGCAAGAATACAGACTGCAACAAGTTTAACCCAGATCACTTAGCGCCAAGGACACAGTTCCCCACTGCACAATTTGCCGAGTGCAATTATTTTGCAATCTGCAAAGTATCTCATCATGACCGGAGGTGTTAAGTAATTCTCCAGTCAAACTAGTAGTCCCGTTTTCTCCTGAGATTATTCCACTGGCATTCTCCATTGCTTCACATTAAACACAACAGAAATCTCTGGGATTATATTAAATGATGGAAATTAGTCATTATTAGTGGTGAAATAAAGAGGGTTAAGAATTGGAAATTCATAAAGGTCATCGAACAGGTAGCCAAATGCATCCCGCATATGACAAGCTGGGCTCTGCACAGCACAGCATTTGTTTACAAAATCGTACTCGTTAATTTTACAGGAAAAAATGCTGATTGTACAAAGGGGAAACAGACTGCACATCAAGCCTTTTGTGGGTGGTAAATCAGGAGATAGAAAAGGCATGTAATAAAGGCACTACTCCCTCATCATGGGGGAATTTAATCTTCAGATGGACTGGGAAAACTAGGTTGGTCGTGGATCCCAAGAAAAGGAATTCATGGAATGTCTATGAGGTGGCTTTTGGAGCAACTTGTGGTAGACCCCACTAACGAACAGGCAATTCTGGATTTGGTGATGTGTAATGAGGCAGACTTGATAAGGGAGTAAAAGGTGATGGAACCCCCAGGGGACAGTGACCATAATAAGATAGAACTTCCCCTGCAGTTTGAGAGGGAAAAGTTGGAATCAGATGTAACAGTATTACAATCAAGTACAGGTAACTACAAAGGCATGAGGGAGGAGCTGACCAGAGTTGGTTGGAAGGGGAGCTTGGCAGAGAAGACAGTGGTGCAGCAATGGCAGCAGTTTCTGGCAGAAATTTGGGAGGCACAGCAGAAATTCATTTCAAAGAAGGAGAAACATACTGAGGGCAGGATGAGGCTGATAAGGGAAGTCAGGAACAGAAAAATAGCAAAAGAAAAAGCATACCGTATGAGTTTCCTCTGGGTGCTCCAGTTTCCTCCCACGGTCCAAAGATGTGCAAGCATGGGCAGCATGGTGGCTCAGTGGTTAGCACTGCTGCCCCACAGCACCAGGGACCCGGGTTCAATTCCACCCTCGGGTGACTGTCTGTGTGGAGTTTGCACATTCTCCCCATGTCTACGTGGGTTCCCTCTGGATTCCTCCCACAGTCCAAAGATGTGCAGGCTAGGTAGAATGGCCATGCTAAATTGCCCATAGTGTTCAGAGATGTGTAAATTAGGTGGGTTTTAGGGGGATGGGTCTGGGTGGGATGCTCTGAGGGTCGGTGTGGACTTGTTGGGCCGAAGGGCCTGTTTCCACACTGTAGGGATTCTGTGATTAAGCCAGGTGGTTTGGCCATGCTAAATTACTCCATGGCAGCCAAAGATGTGCAGGCTAGGTGGATTAGCCGTGGAAAATGCAGGGTTACAGGGATAGAGTGGGTCTGGGTTGGATGCTGTTCGGAGAGTCAGTGTGACTGGATGGGTCGAATGGCCTGCTTCCATACTGTAGGGATTCTATGATTCATACAATGTGGCGAAGGTTAGTGTGTGCCAGAGGATTGGGAAGCCTTTTAAAAACAAGCACAGGACAACTGAAAAAATGCAATGGGGGGGGGCGGGTAGAAGATGAAATATGAGGGTAAGCTAGCTAGTATTACGAAAGAAAATGGCAATTTTTTAAGATATATAAAAGGTAATAGACAGGCAACATTGGAGTTTGGACCACTGGAAAATGAGGCTGCAGAAGCAGTAATAGGAAACAAAGAAATAGCAGAGGAACTGAACAGGTACTTTGCATCAGTTTTCACAGTAGAAGACACCAGCAGCATACCAAAACTTAAAGAGAATCGGGGCAGAGGTGAGTGTAGTGGCCATCACTGAGGAGAAGGTGCTGGGGAAGCTGAAAGGTCTGAAGCTGGGTAAATCACCTGGACCAGATGGACTACGCTCCAGAGTTCTGAAGGAAATCACTGAGGAGATTGTAGAGGCATTGGTGGTGATCTTTTAGGAATCAATGGAGTCAGGGAGGATCCCAGAGGACTGGAAAATGGCTAATGTAACACCTCTGTTTAGGAAGGAAGGAAGGGAGACAGAAGATAGGAAACTATAGGCCAGTTACCCTGACCTTGGTCATTGGTAAGAGTTGAGAGTCTATTATTAAGGATGAGATTGCGGAGTTCTTGGAAGTGCATGATAAAGTAGGGCTAAGTGAGCACAGATATGTCAAGGAGAGGTCATGCCTCACAAGTCAGTTAGAATTCTTTCACGGGGTCATGAATAAGTTAGACAAAGCAGAGCAGTGGCCTTCCAAACTGCCTTTGACAAGTTGCCACACAGGAAACTGCTAAATAAGATAAAAGCCCATGGTGTTAGGGGCAAGGTACTGGCATGGATAGAGGATTGGCTTTCTGTCAGAAGGCAGAGAGTAGGGTTAAAGGGGTCTTTTTCAGGATGGTAGCCAGATGACTAATGGAGTTCCACATGGGTCCGTGTTAGAACCACAACTATTCACATTATACAGTAATGGACGAAGGAACGGACATTGTTGTTAAGCTTATAGATGACAGAAGAAATAGGTGGAGGGTCAGGTAGTGTTAAGGAAGTGGGGAGGCTGCAGGAGGACTTGGACAGGCTAGGAGAGTTAGCAAAGAAGTGGCAGATGGATTGCAATATAGGAAAATGTGAGTTTATGCACTTTGGTCAGAAAGATAGAGGCATAGGCTACTTTCTAAATGGAGAATGGCCTTGGAAATCTGAAGCACAAAGGGACTTGGGAGTCATAGTTCAGGATTCTCTTAAGGTTTACAGGCAAATTCAGATAGTAGTTAGGAAGGCAAATGCAATGTTAGCATTTATTTCAAGAGGGCTCAAATGCCAGAACAGAAATATACTGCTGAGGCTGCATAAGACTCTGGTCAGACTGCATTTGGAACATTGTGAGCCCTGTATCTAAGGAAGGATGTGCTGGCCTTGGAGGGGGTCCAGAGGAGGTTTACGATAATGATCCGGGAATGAAGGGCTTATCATACGAGGAGAGACTGAGGGTTCTGGGACTGTACTTGATGGAGTTTAGGAGGATGGGAGTGGGTCTGATTGAAACTTACAGAATACTGAGAATCCTAGATAGAGTGGACATGGAGAAGATGTTTCCACTAGTAGGAGACTAGGAGCTGAAGGTACAGCCTTAGAATGAAGGGATGATCCTTTAGAACTAAGATGAGGAGGAATATCTTCAACCAGAACGTGGTGAATCTGTGGGACTCATTGCCACAGAGGGCTTTAGAGGCCAAGTCATTAAGTACATTGAAGAAGAGATGGATAGGTTCTTGATAAGTAAGTGGATCAAAGGTTTTGGGGAGAAGGCTGGAAAATGGGTTGAGAAAGAAATCATCCATGATCAAGTGGTGAAGCAGACTTGATGGACCAAATGTCCTAATTCGGTTTCTGTATCTTATGGTATTACAGTTTCACAGACAAAACAGCTTTGACAGTTTGTTACAATTACAGTGTTCATTTTCCCGTTATTGTTTGAAGCAAGGGGAATGCTTGCTACAAAGTTAAGCCTATGGTAAGAACCTCTGCATGGAGTCTTTAAACATGTGTGTAGTAGTTACATCATGAACACAACTCATTTGGTCATCAAATCCCAGGGGGAAGACTCAAAGCCAAAGATTCTGGCTCAAAGACAGGGGTATTACCCACTCTGCTACAAGGCCTCTATAAGAGAATTATACTGCCGGGAAGTTAAAAAGTCTTTCTATTCAAGAATGTTTAAACAATACTTGCAAACCTTATAGTAACTGATAAATACACCAGCCAATCACAGTGTATATGCCAGCACAGATCATTGAAAAACAATCAGAAGGACTGTAATGTTTCCCTCTTGGATTCTCGCAAGAATGCTCTGTCTAGTTGGAGCACTTTTACCTTCATAATGAGGCCACATGGAAAAACAGATGTTGGGTCATCTGTTTAGATTTTTGCTGTTGCTACAGTTGCCAGATGGCCTCACTATAAACCTAAATGGCCTCATTATCTATCTAACTCAAAAGAGTGCTAGCTTTGTTTCATTGTCATTTTTATTACCTTGTGATAACCTGCTCTTGTATGAAGTCTTTTCAATGCCTTTTTTTTATATACAGCATTAATAGGTATGAGGTTATTTAAAGCTTTTGCCATTCATACAATGAATGGCTGTGTGTGACTGGCACTTATAAGAGATTGTAAGAGGAGTGGACTTTCACTGGCAGTTTTCAAAGCATCATTGTTTATTGCATCAGTTTCAGGAGCATCTCAAAGACATTCCAGGCTTCTTGTTGGCTGAACATTGCAGATACTGGAAGACTGGGTACAGAGGATCCATGGGAAATATGACCTGGACATGATGGGACAGAGAGGAATGAGGGGTTGAGTAGGATGAGGATTATAGAGCCTATGAGTCACAATTACGACTGGGCCAATGACCTAGTAAATGGAGGAAAGCCTTCTTGCTTCCTGACCTTGCCATCAGTCCACCTCCATTGACACCTTGGGTCTGCTCCAGAGGCAGTGGACCCATCTTCAGTCCATGTCCACTTCATTTACTTAAAAATAGGAGAGACATGCACCTCTCACAAAGATGGGGATCACAGGGAGAGGAAGATTCCCAACACCTGATACTGATTCCCAACACCAGCCACTACTGCATTCGGAGATAGTGTTGCGGTGGTAATGTCCTGAGAATTAATCCTGAGACTGAGGGGAGTGTTCTGAGGACATTGGTTCAAATCCCCCCACGGCATCTAGTAAATCAAATTTTGAATTAATTCCAGCTGGAATTGAAATCCAGCCTCAGTAATGGTGACAATGCAAGATACAAACATCTGAGTTAGGGGTGGGAGTAGGCTATTCCGTCCCTTGAACCTGCTCCACCATTTGATAAGATCCTGGTCAGTTAATTATCTGGGGGGAGGGGTGGAGAGCATCTCATTTGTGGATGTCCTTTAGGGAGGGACTGACCCTACCTGGCCTGGCCTAATGTAACTCCAGACCTACAGCAATGTGGTTGGCTTCTAATTGCCCTATGTAAAGACATGTCAAAGTCAATATCAGTCAGTTGGAGGACAATTAGGAATGGCCAATAATTGCTGGCCATTAAATGCAGCAGTGCTCATTTTCTCAGTTGCTCCTTGAGGAACAAAGTCTCAGATTGTAATCATTCTTCTGAGGTGCTCAATGTATTTATTAGTGACCACCTTGTATTTCTGGCCTCCCATTTTTGAACTCCCTCTATGTGTAACAAATTCCCTTAATCAGCTGACCCCCTCTAATACCCTGTGATCTGGGTAAGCTGTACCTTCGTGGTCCTGGGAATCGTCTGCTTCCTGATCCAGACATGATGGCTGCTGCAATGAACCAACTGCGATCCTGAGAAAATAAAAGGGTCACGTTGAGGAGATTGTCCTGAAACCTGGCAACTGAGCTCTGCTTGAATATATTCCAGGAGTTTTCATCCAATGACTTCCCTCTCTAACTGTCCCATTCCCACATTCCTTGCCACAAGTCACCCAACTTACCAACTAGTCCTCACAGTTCCCATAGGCAATAGAGAAATGAAATGGCTTTTCAGAAGCCAATCAGATACTTCTTTACTGCCATTCAAACAGCCTTCTGTCCAAATCACCACTTCTTATAGAACAAGCAGACATTTTCAAAAATAAACAAGTAGCGGACAATTATTTTCTTGTCCAGATGTCTTTTCTATCCCCATAGGTTTGGTTACCGCAGTGTCCTAGAGAGTAATCTTTATTTCCCGGAAACTCCAGTGCATTCTTGGAGAGTTGGGAAGATTGATGAGCACACAGCTCCTGGCTTCTAAAGGAGATCCATCATCTGCTGCTGTTACCTTGGCAACATGATGCCTGTCGCTGCTGACCTCTGTCAATCCCAGACATGGTCCAAAATTTCCTGGTTACAGAGGTGTTTCTATGGATGTGGCAGATTGGGGGAGGTGGCAGTGGTACAGATGGACAGGGAGAAACTTGGGATTCAAGTATTTGTTGTCTTCATGTTTATTAATACTTTATATGCTGCTGGTCTTAATTACTGCAGTCTTTCCTCAGTCTGCTCACATTTATCTGGTCTGAGGAAATCTGAGGCATGAGAGGTCTTTGGACCTACCAAACTCACTTCTTCCACTCACCAAGTGAACATTGTGCAATCGTCAGTGAACATTTCCACCTCTGACCTTATGAGGGAGGGAAGGTCGTTGAAGAAGAAGCTGAAGATGGTTGGACCTCGGACACTACCCTGAGGAACTCCTGCAGAGATGTTGGATCACGGCTGTAGTGATGTGACTGAGGGGCCCAGGTGGAACCCAAACTGTATATCAGTGACACAGAGATTGCTGGAGTAACTCAGCCAGTCTGGAAGCAGTAGACAGTATCAGTGAGCTGGTTATTGCTGTGCCATTGCTACTGTTGATGTCTGCTTCCATCACTTTGCTGATGATTGCGAGTGGTCTGGTGGGGCAGTAAATGGCCACACTAAATCTGAACTGCTGTCGGTGGCAAGACATTGCTGGTAGATGCCAATGTTGTAACTGTACTGGAACAGCTTGTCTAGGGGCAGTGATAGTTTGAGGGTGCAAGCCTACAATAGTACTGCTGGTTTGCAAAAATTCATTGTTGATTATGCTTCAAAAATACTTCTTTGACTGTAAAACATGTTGGGACATCTTACAGTTGTGAAGTATGCTCCATCATCGCAAGTCCTTTCTTTCTTCTTTCCCTTTTTGGGTGCTGAGGCCAATTTTGTATACCATACTATAGCTGAAAATTTAAAGGAAAATGATTCTGCTGGTAAATGCTCAATCACAACCTTGCTGCTCCTCCTTCCAATTCTATAGTTAGATATACATCATATTTTGGTGATTAAACAGCAAAACTCAAGTTAGCTGACCCACACTGAGAAGTGATGTACAATTATTTTCCTGTCATGTGGGCACACTAGCTCCTGCTGTGATTACTCACTCCCTCTTCCCACCACCCCCACGCCAGCCCACCCCATACCTCCCTCCTCACCCCCTTGCTCCAATCCCCCAACCTCTTTTGGTTCTCCTTGACTAGAGAAACCAACATCCCTCTCAGAGGAGCAGAAGGTGTGCTCCCTCTCTCCATTACAAGCACATAGGGGAGATTGTCCAGTGCAGTAGTTTATGTAGGATGTATCCCTGGAAATGTAGAGGGCCCTGAAGCAGATAACATTGTTGTATGTACCAGGCAGTCTTTTCTTTCTTGTGTTGTCTCTCCCAGGAGATTACGTGGCTGCTGGGAGGCAAGGGAAAGAGGAAATGTTTAGTCAGGAAGCTGCAGCCATTATCAGTGTGGGTTTACTTTGATAGATTCACTGGATTTATCATGCTGCCAATTTTCTATGAATGTATTTATTTAAAACATAAAAACAAAAGCAGGCTAGGTGCGTCTTCGATTCTGCCTCACCATTCGATTAGGTCAAGGCTGATTTGTAGGTCCACTCCATTTCCCATCCTGTTTCCATTTCCTTGATCCCTTACTCTATAAAAATCTAACAATCTCAGTCTTGAAGGCCTCAACTGTCCAAAGTGCCCAAAGCCTTTCAGGCAGACATTCTCATTGTGTGAAAAATGAGCTTCTAACTTCCTACCATTGTGGGTTAACTTCGCCATGGTCCTGCATGTGGATTCCCCATGTAGCAAATAGTTTCTTTGTATGTAACGTATTAAATCCCTTTACTATTTCAAGCATCTCAATTTGACATATCTCTGATGAGGTTTAAATAAAAAGCATTAAGACAATGTTCTACCAACAGTTAGAATCAAGTCCAAAAGCCTGTGTCTATCCTCTAGCAATTCAGCAATTCTTGAAATTTATCCCTTTGACCAAGCTTTTGGTCAGCTCTGTATCTGTTACTTAGTGTTAAAGTTTGTTTTGACAATGCTCCTGTGAAATATTGCTGGACATTTTATCATGTTAAAGTCGCTATAGTAATGCAGTTGTTGTAGATCACCACACAACCTGCAAATATTTCCTGCGAATGGGACCAGAAAAGCATTGGTTAATCAGTTATAGGAATCTGCCATTAAAGGATTTGAGAGACTGGCTGTAAACTGGACTGAGTAATAATGATGAGCTTAGCTGACACCTTGGAGGGCTACATGCAGACGGTTACCATCTGGCTGTCAATTATTGTGGATATGGTGGTAAAAAGGACTGAATTAGGCATCTTCCTCATGAGGTGGCTGCATGTCCATCCACTGCAGTAAGATCCCTCAGAGGAATTAAAGTGTCAGAAGATGGGCAAATGCTGTTAGATGTGGTTCTAGCTATTGCAGGAACATCTCATCCTCTGGACCCTGCACTTCAAAAGTGTCACGTGCACTGTATCAACCTGTATCCCTCATGTCAGTACCTCCCAGCCCAATGGACTCCAACCCTTCACCTGGGCCATTCTAAATGTTGGACTGTGGGCTCCCAGAGTATGAAACAAGCAGATTTTTAAGACACAAACATCTAAATTGACAGGTTTTCTAAATAGCTTTCCTTTCATTAAGCAGCTAGTTGGAGGCTGAAGTAAATATTGTTACGTATGTAGCTGGGTGTGTGTTTCCCCTTTAAGTGACCCAGAGGTGGGAGATAGAGGGGCAGTCTAGACCGACTGTGGAGCTGATAGGACACACGATGAAGTATTCCCCGTTCAAATTTACCCTTCATCTATCTCGTCTTTGACGTACGGTTCTGGTGAACCACAAATGCAATAAATATATATCTATATATAAAAATAAAACACATATCAAGGCCAGAAATCTATCTATATATATCAAATATCTATATATAAAAACAAAACACACATCAAGGCCAGAAATCTATACCTGCACATGTTGTAGATACAAACCTCAAGTTGCACCCTTTTGTTGGATTTAATCTTAACTGATGAAATAAACAAAATGCACTGTCCTAAAAAAACAAAAGTAATAAACCGCACCATGTGCACTTCAATGGTAGAATTGACTATTCTGTGCCTAATGAAGACTTGATGAAGCCAGTGGGGAAGGCAAACAGGCACCTAAAAGAGTTTTTGATTAAGTAGATAGGGACAATCTGTTTCCTCTGGAAAGACAGCTGGTAACTAGCAATCACAAGTCTCAGGTAAATCACAAGGGAACCAGAAGAGGAGATGTGGATAAATCTACTTTCCATAGCAAGTCATTGCGATCGGAAATGTGCTATCTGCAAGGTGGAGACCAATTTAATAATAACTTTCAGAAGAATAATTGACTAAATACTTGAAAAGGGAAGGTTTGCATGGCTTCGGAGAAAGAATAGTAGGGGAGGTGGGGCTGTGGAATTAATTGGATGGCACTTTAGATTATCAGTCCAGCAATAATACCACTAGGCCATTGTCTACCCATTATATGTGCACCATTAAATGTGTGTCCATAAAGAAAAAGGGTGGGACAACCAAACCTAGAGGCCCCTGGATATCAATAAGCTTACAGGGCAGATTGGTGTCCAGAAGGAAAGCCTAAGTCAGACTCTGAGAACTCAGTACTACAGAAATAGAGATGTTTCAAAAATGTAGGGTTGAAATCAAAAAGGAAATTAGGAAAACAAAGACAGATATGAAAGAATATTTGGAAATAAAATCAAGGAGAACTCAAAAGGTATTTTATCAATCATTAAGAGTAAAGGTTATCTAAGTATAGAATAGAATCCTTAAAGAATAGTAATCAATGTGTCATGACAGAAGATATGAGCATGGTTCTTAATGAATACTTTGTGTTTGTCTTCACAGAAGTAAGGGTGATGAAGGCTTTGTAGTTAAGGAGAGGGCGTGGAAACTATTTGATTTAACAAACATGGAGAGAGGAAGTATTAAGGGAATTAGCATCTTCAAAGTGTAAAAAGAACCCTAAAGAGAAAGTAGTGAAGGCTCTGAGCGTCATTTTTTATCTTTCTCTGACTACTAATGTGGTGCTGGAGGAACAGAGGAATGTTAATGTTGTACTGTTATTTAAAAATGGAGTGAGGGACAGACAAGTCAGTCAGCCTGGCCTCAGAAGCAGGAACATGATTGTTATCAATTCTGAGAGAAAGGATAACCTGTCACTTAGAAGGACATGGGGCAACTAGTTATTGTCAGCATTGATTTGTTAAGGGAGGATTGTGCTTAACTAACTTAATTGAATCTTTTTGGGAAGATAACAAGGAGAATTGATTAGAGTGTACTTGACAAGGTCTACATTCACTTTAACAAGGTTTTTTTTTGCAAGATCCCTCATGGCAGACTGGTTAGAAAGAAAAGTTCATGGCATCGAGGGAAATGTAGCAAGCCAGATATAAAAGCAGCTTAGTGGCAGTTAACAAAGGTTAACTAGTGTTTTTG